GTTAAAGAAATAAAAAAAAGCTATTAGCATTTGTCAGATAAATAATTCTGGCTTATACACAACCAGTAAAAATGTTTGGACACACTTTCTCATTAAATGTTATATTTTTGTTTGCTTTCAACTTTAAAACGTAACGCTGACGTCATTCAAACTTTGATGGAACACATACTGGAATCATGTAGAGATCTAAACATTGTTATATGAACCAAAGTATAATTTAAATTTATTTAGATAATTCAAAGTAGGAACATTTAGCTTTCGTTAGTTTTGCACACCTGGCAAACTCTGATTCCACTTCATGATGTTCTGTAACCATCTGGAATCATTTTCTAACAGCTTTTAAATTCCAATGAATAGTATGCATGTTCATGGTGGTTATAAAAGCACAAGGCACTTTTAATAAATATTTTGGTTATTTTAACACTGAAGTTTAGGCCTTGCTACATGGTCCTTTACAGTGTGTGTTAACCTACCTCAGTGAGGATGACTTCAGTATTAATTTACAATTAATTTAGCTTTCTTGACTGAATAGAAATGTCTAACTGCAGTTCACAGCTTCACTTAGTCTGTTTAAACTAGCATAAAAATTGTACTTCAAACTATATTAGAAGTTGTGGATTTACTTAAATGCATTTATGAAACATCCATCCATTCATACTTATTTGCTAGTCTGGTAATACATTGCATTTGAATCAGTAAAGGTGTTTTAACTAAAACCTCTGTTTTAAATTTACTCACCTTGTCCAGAAATGTACTTGAATAAAGGTTTATGAACAAAAACTATTTGAATGTACGAGTAACACAGCTAATTTGTGTATTTTTGTTATTAATGGAGTATATAATGTTGCTAAAGCTTATTTTCATCCACTGTCTCACGGTCAATCCTGGATGGGGTCATGGAGTTGTCGAGTGGAAGGGGCTAGCAAATCAAAGCAAGGATTGTGTGAGATGTACATTATCAATAAAGTTACAAAAAAGGTTTCATGTTACAACATGAAACTATAATGGTCGCAGAACACAGACATTATCAGTTCACGTGAAGATATGTGCAGAACAGTCAGCAGGTGGCCATTCTTTTTCTTCCTTTTCCAGACATTCTTCTTCTGTGAGGTTTATCGGCAGATTACATCCATTTGGTGTAAGAACTAGCTCTTTCTACTTATATTCTCTTAAATAAACCTATTACCCTCAGGTAATGATGTAAATAATTCAGGCCATGTGATCGCCTGAAATTGAAACATAAAATATCTCAAAAACKATAACAGCACAAACGCTCATTTTAACTGCACAAACCTGCACAAACGAAGCACTAACCAGTCCGCTTACTTGCTTGGATTTTTTAAGTGGGTGGGGTGTCAGCTTCACTGAGCCAGAGATTATCTGTCTAATATCAATCTGTCAGGACATAGTGACAGTTTTAACAAATATGTCAAAAATATATATTTTAAAAAGTTACAGACTGCAGCTTTAAGTATATAACAGGCTAGCATGTTTTACATTTTGTATGAGTATTGATCACATATTTGCATACAAATTGATTGATTGATTTATTTCTGTTGTGGGTATAAAAAACACACATGCAAAAAAGATTCTGTTATGTTTGGTCACATTTTCAAAGAGCCACTGCTGAGGGACCAAAGAGCCACATGTGGCCCCAGAGCTGCAGGTTGCAGACCCCTGGCCCAAGTGAACAGTGTTTGGGTGAGAATAGGTATTATTATTATTATTATTATTATTATTATTATTATTATTATTATTATTATTATTATTATTAGTTGTTGTTGTTGTTGTTGTTGTTGTTATACAGTTGTTTATTCAACAGAACAACAATTTAAGATTAGACATCAGGCTTTAAACAGAAATATACTGTATTATAGTAACATTTGATTTTTCGTAAGAAAACGTTTTTTCTTGTTACAAGAGAAAAGTGTTATTTCATTATTTGATACAAATGGCCTGCCATACACCATATGCGCTGGTAAGTAGCTGTTCAGTTACGTAAACACACCCTTGCATATGATTGGTGGAGACGTTTTAGCGCGGCGAGACGCAGCCAATCATAGGATTGTTTTTCTTTCACGTCGTTGTACGGATAGTAAGCTAACGGATAAGGCAAATAWAAACTTAGAAAAAGAACGCGGTTTGTTGCCTGCCCGTAGCCATATTGTGGTGACGGCTTTAAATGACTGAACCAAGTCTTCTTTATCGGGATTATGCTCGTGGAAATATGGTACTGTCGTCAGTGCGAGGATATACAAATCGGGTAAGGCAAGCTAGCTAAATTAGCTGTAGCAGCTTGCTAGTTTTTTTTAAGGTTCCACAAGGCCGCGGAGAACAGAAGAGCCGCTTCCCGTTCTTGCTTTGCTGAGAATGTAGTTTTGCAGCAAGTGTTAAACTCGCAACGATAGTCAGAGCAGCTTGATTTGCGGTGTAATCGATTGCACTTGGTTTTTAAAAAGCATTGGAGCTACCTAGCTTGCTAGCATGAGTGAAGTGACGGACTGCAAACTGTCCGCGGACTCTGCRTCGAGGAAACGGTGTCCATCACCCGGCCAGGATGAAGGCAGCGCGGTTCCCCAGAAGTCCTCTAAAGTAAGTGACGGTGTCGGTGCAACAGAGACTACGTCGGAAAGTTGCAAAAACAGTGAAAGTGGAAGCAAAGTAGCCTCGCAGGTGGAGCCTAAARAAGTTGGGAACGAAGGTGATGCTCCGAAGACAGAGCAGGGCTCCGACAGCAGCAGCGTGCAGCCTGCCAACCGCTCCAGAGCTGACAGTAAAAGCGCCAGCAAACCCCTGACCTCAGACACACAAGCACCCTCTGATKCAAAAGGAGAAACGGAGAAAACAGCGGAGTCGGATCAGCGTTCCTTACCTCCTCAGTCTGACTCAGCAGCCATAGCAGCTGCTGAAGCTCTCGCCAGTCTCACCGGAGGCGATGGAGAAGAGAGTCAGGAGACACCGTGCTCCTCTGAAAAGGCGAAACAGGTAAAACATGGAAGCAAATACAAACAACGGGGAGGCCACCAGTCCTCAAAAGTTGGCTCAAAAACACAGGCGGCGGCAGCTGACAGCTCCACATCTGCGCGGAGCGCAGACAAAGAGGCTGGGGAGGATGTTCCTGAGGCAGACGAAGGGGATGAATCTGGATCTGGGTCTTCGTCCACGCCGAGCTCCTCTTTCCCATCTGACAACGAGGACAACGACGATGGGGAGTGCGCCATCGTGTCGGTGAAGATGGCCCCAGAGATGAGGCAGTCTGTGGCTCTGCTGGCTCAAGTGCAAATGAGACTGGAGGCTCTTGAGAAGAAAAGTGCCCGACTTCATCAGCGGCTGGAGCAGAAGATCAACCGTCAGAGGCGTCCACACCTGGATCAGAGGAGCTCCATCACAAAAACTATTCCTGGCTTTTGGGTGACCGCAGTATCCTTAAACTGAGAGCAGTCGCACAGCTCCTACGCTTTGTTTTTGGGTGTTTGCACATTCGTTTTGTTTTTATCTTAACTTCAGTGTCTTAGCTGTTGAACCACCCTCACCTCTCAGCCCACATTGATGAGACAGATGAAGATGCTCTTAGTTACATGACTGATCTGGAGGTATGATGTGTTTTGTCTACCTTTCCTACAAGTATGGCTTGTATCTGTGGGAAAGTGGCAGATTTTATGATTTTTTTTYCTGTTCTTTCTCAGGTTGAATCTTTTAAGAACAGCAAACTGGGCTACAGGATTCGCTTCCACTTCAGACGAAACCCGTATTTCCAGAATAATATCATAATGAAGGAGCTGCACCTTGGAATGGGATGTAAATAGCATTTTCCTTGTTAAAACTTCTTTTTTTTTTCTCCTGGTTACTAGTTATTGAATCGTTCAGGTGAACAATGAAAGGAAAGAGAATGATGTAACAACATCAGCGACTTTTAAAATTAAGTTTAAATCAACACAATGCATATTATTTATTGTTTGTTTGGGGTTTAATTGTTTCTGCCTGTGGGTGAAATTTGGCTGCAGTGACACCAAACCCTAAAATCCACTTGTTATATTTTGGACCACTCTCTGATCRTTGCTGCTCGTGCTCTCAGGCTCGTCCTTGTCCTTCTCCAACCCCATACTYTGGCACCGTGGACACAACCTGACGGCTAACAGTGAGCCCAGGAAGTCGTCCCGTGGYGTTTACGAGACCTTCTTCAGCTGGTTCAGCGACCACAGTAACCCCGGACAGGACGATGTAGCACAGGTACAGACGCCTTCACCTCCACACGTGTTWCACGTCACCGTTTATCATAAGAACGAGCTTCTCTGCTTTGTGTGCCAGTTCGCGGTCAGATTTGGAAAGTGTGCTGCCCAGAATAAACTGTCGAATTTTACAACTAATGCTTAAACAGTGTGGCTTTAATGAACCACATTACAGTCTGAACCATCAGCTCTGAATGGGTCTGTTGGAGGCATTTTTGTCCACAATCAGAGTTTTCTATTTGTGATCAAGTCACCCATTTAAACACCTGTCATTAATAGGGCCGTGGTTGATGCATTACCTTAAATTGACCTTTTATTAGAGGATCTTAATCTGATCAAACAAAATAAAAACTGACAACTTACACTAGGACTGGGCGGTATAACCTCAAGTTCATATCACGGTATAAATTGAATTCCTTCACGGTAACGATATATATCGCGGTAGAAAATTATCATAAAAAGCAAAGATGATGATTTTTAGTGCATTTATTTAGCAGAAAACTGTAATCTTAATCAAACCCAGCATTTTTGCTGTAGTGCAAATGAACATAACAGAAGTACAAAAGAATGTTTTATATATTTTGCAAAACGGTTTCAACAACAAACAAAAACATTTCTCAAACTTTCAACAATATCAAAATAAAGTGGATTTTATAAACAGTACTTCAAGAAAAAATAGTCATTTAGACAAAAACAATTCTAAGTTGGCATAAGTAGCCTAAAATGTTACAGTGTGACTGGACCGTAAGGGGCTCAAGTGAGCATATAGTTCTAGTCATGAAACAATTTCAGATAACTGGAATGTAAGTGTGGTGAAGCCAAATAAATGTAATATCTGCCTGCCATATGATGAGCTTCTGCCTGCTGAACTGACCGGCTGCTGCTCTGTCAGCCTCAGACTGTTACATTAGCAAGATGGATTTATGACTGACCGAACGTCCACATCTTTTTTTTATCATCTCTGTGGGGAACAATACATAAAAAACAAGTTTTTTTTTCTCAGAAAACCTGGGTGTGAAAAAACTACGGTTACTAAAGCTTCACTCTGCACAACGTGCAGAGGAGGGAGGAGGAAATGATCCTGTGACACAACGTAACTTTTCTACAGCAGGAGGGGAAAATTGGAGAATTTATTCTCTCTATACGTGTTTTCAAACGCTATATTTCTTAATTTATTTTCATAATATTTCAAACTCCCACCTTCTACTTTTACCTAATTTCCCTCTGGGATCAATAAAGTATTTTTGAATTGAATTTGAATTGAACTCCTCCTGCTCAGTTGTCTCTGCACTCGCAGCCATGTTGACACAGGTGTGATGAGGGTAAATTTCTACCATAGGCCAACTTCATATCATTTCTACCATTTATCACATATACCGCGCAGCCCTAACTTACACCTATTCTTTGATGCAGTTGTGTCGTTTAATTATTAGACAGCATTGAATCCACAATGATTTGCTTTTGTGCGTATTCTTTGGACAGTTTCTAAAAAATCATGTTCAGATGTTTGTTTTTTTCTCCACACAAGCTAAACCAGCAGATTGTCATAATAATAATAATAATAATAATAATAATAATCTACACCTGAATGAAATATATAGATCAGATGTAAAGCAAAATAAATGTGATGCAAGTGGCAGCATTGTGTTTATGGAATATTCAGGATGGCCAGGTGATGGCTTCACTTTAAAATTATTACCTTTTTATTTATATGTACTCACAGTATTGATCACAGTTCAACACGTTACAGACAATTAGGAGGAAATAGACCAGATTTTAAAGATTGATTTTGCACATTAGCTCCATGGCTTTTAAACATTATGTTGGTAAACAGGAATGTATACAGCGTATTATTTTAAACCAGTGGTCTCCAAACTACRGCCCGCGGGCCGGATCTGGCCCGCCTCCCCATTTGGTCCGGCCCCCAGAGCAATACCAGAGAGCATTTAGTTTTTTTTTTTCATATATGTGTATTTATATTTGATTATAAATTTGGACTTTTGCAATAAAATGTTCCTTAGTTATGAACTATTTTCATTATTAACTATTATTAGTTAGTAACTATTTCATACATACACGCATATAACGTGACATTCTGTTCCACCCTTCTGCGGTCTGTGCCCCTATCTGGCAACCCCCAGAAAAAAAATCCTGACCCGCCCCTCTCAAAGAGAGAACCGAATAATGGCGAAAAGATTAGGTAAGAGAAAAATTGATTCAGAATGCAGGGCAAACGATTATTTTTTGTGCATCTGTCAAGAGGCGGTGGCGGTATTCAAAGAATACAATCTGCGGCGACACCATGAATCCCGTCACAAAGACTAGTATGATAGCTGTAAGGCCAAATGTGAGCAAACAAACTCTCAAAGCTAAAAAGTGGACTGTTAGCTCAGCAGAATACATACTGTGAAGAACCCAGAGAGGGTTATTTGATTGTGCTTTCTGGAAAACAATAMATTTTTACATTTAGGCACTCCTGCAATAGTCACACTTTTTGTTACAAACTGACTCCGGCCCCCCACCAGAGAAGGGAAAAGATATGTGGCCCTTACAGGAAAAAGTTTGGGGACCCCTGTTTTAAACACTTGAAAAAACGAAACCATARTATTGCAACAGATGTTTTGAATTTAACGAGTACTGATGATGCTTTGTGCTGTTGATTAGATACTTAAAGATGACCTCTACAGAGACCCGCTCAGATACTACCTTACTCCTCTCTGGGAACCAAGAGAAAACGGCAGGTAAAGCAAACAGACTCAAGCTGTTGGCACACGTAGCGTGTAAAATTCTGTCAGTGAACAAAGCTCTAATTAATTAATTAGTAAGTTAAAAAAAGTGTCTGCTGCTTTAGCTTTTCTCTTTATTGTAACAAAAGGAGTAACGAGCGTTCGCTGTTCACACAACTGGATGTCAAGCTTTTCTTTTCTGCAACAGTGGCGCCGAGGCCAGAGCCGCTGGCAACGGGAACGGAGATGACTGTGTGGTGATTTCTGACTCCGATGATGAGCCCAGCGAGGAGACGGGTGAGGCTGAGCAAGGCCACAGCAGGGAGGAGGAGGAGGAGGASGACGAAGAAGAAGGGGGCGGGGAGGGTGAAGAAGAAGAGGAGGAGGAAGAGGAGGATAGAGGGGCAGGTGCAGGTCAGAGCAAAATCAGATCTGTTGAAAATGGTTCACATCATGCAGACCTGTGGTTGGTTTAAAAACCAGTTTGATTCATGAGGCGAATGTGAGATCTCTGAACAGATAAATGACCGTTTCAGACGACAGCCAGGAGGATGAAGAGGAGGAGGACGAAGAAGAGGGTGACGACGGCGGCGGTGGCGGCGGAGAAATAGTTATTGACGGTAAAACATCACTGTTATAGACGAGCAGTGGAGGGTTGGGAAGCCTGTGGGAGCTTTTTTTAATCATGTGATCATGTTTGTCCTCCAGGATCTGATGACAGTGACCAGGAGGAGGAGGAGGAGGAGGAGGAGGAGGAGGAAGAGGCCTAAGAAGAACATGAAGGTGAAGAGACGTTGCACACCAGTCAGCTACAACATTAAACCCACTCCCTAGTCTTTTTTGTTTTGTTTGTTTGTTTTTTTGGGTGGGGGGTGTCCTCCTCGTGCCACAAAACCAGATCTGACCCACCAAGAACACAGGACCTGACCGTACTGCTCRGTTAGATCAGAGACCGGGCCAGCACCAGAAACGATCCGTCGTGTCCTTTTGAGTGATTCAGTTTTTATAGCGTCCCATCTGCTTTTCCACAAGTGATGTAAAAAAAATAATGATAATTTATGCAATCTGTTTGAATATGAGAACCGAAGTTTTCCCACCAGAACCTTTGTGTAGACACGAGGCTGCCTCRGCTCCCAGTAGTTTTTAATATTGTGGCTGAATAGTGTTGAATGAAAGCGGGTGGGGCCACCTTAGGGACCAGAGACTGCGACAGTGAAGAGGCGGCTCAGTCGATGAAGACAAATAGTGCAAACGTTGACTCGTTCTTCCTGATGTTGGTTATTTTTATGCACAGAATATCAGTCTTTGTTTTTATACAGGAAAAAAAACAGAGAGGAGCTTTTTTAATTCAGGGTTAACTGTAATAATTAAAGCCAAGGCAGCGTGTCCCCGCCCSCTTCCTTATTTTCTACAGTCAGTACTGTGTATTCTGGTGTACTCTCATTCACTTCCTGCTCTTGTTTTGTCTTTTTAAACCGTTTTCGGGGTACAGGTTCCTCCAGGCAGCGACGGAGCATGCTCTGCACATGCTTGAATGCCAGTGATGGCAGTAMAATTTTTGAATAGAAATTCTTCAAATAAACACTGAAATTCTTAGCGGCATTATAAGTTGGTCTTTTTTGTTTGTTTGTTTGTTTTTGTTTGTTTGTTTTTGTTTGCTTGTTTTAGAGCTGACGCGTGACAAAGCAAATGCGTCACAAGTTAATTCTGATGTGACTTGTACATTTCAGATGCACTGAGTACTGAACCAAATCTTGTTCTCAGGGATGATCAAGGTGGTTGGTGTATAAATTAAAGAAATGCTAATTTTAGAACATTCACACACACTTTACTGTCGGTTGTGTATAAAGACGTGTACTCTACTGTAGTAAATGGAAGCAGTTATTTTAATAGACTACCCGTGTTTTATTTCCCCACCGTCGCGTTACACGCCATCCCCCGGCCCTTTAAACCATACTGACGATGTATTTTCTAACCATCATGTAGTTTGATTAACGTTTCTGTGGAAGCCTGGATTTGTGTAACACGCCTTGACAGTAAGTAGTTTAAACATTTCTCTAGGTTTTAACTTGCGAACACAAACACCTAAAGTTTATTTTCATGTTTTGTCTTTTAAGATCGGATTCATGAAAACGCTGGTATTTATTTTACTTTTTTTTTTCTCTACACATCTCATTAGGGCATGCCTGTTAGCACAAACTGTAGGACAGGAGAATAAAAGTGGACATGTTCAGTCCACAACAAAAAGAAMAGAGGAGCACTGTAACGAACTTCACATTTGCTTTTCTTGGCACCGAAACTGTAAATATTTCTGCATTGTCTTTTTGATTAAACAGCGCTTGTTTAAATCTTTGTTAAATTTATCATATCTGGATTTTTTTTTTTTTTTTTGTAAACTTAAGGAGAACATTACATTTTATGTGCTGTGTTGTAGTTAAGGTTACTTTTTTATTTGTAATTTCTTTTTGTTTGATTTGCTTAAAAGATAAATGTTCATCTTTTGGATCAGAATTAATAAAATAGAAAAGTGGYTGTTCTTGCTGCCTGTGTGCTTTAATAGTTGTCCTCCAGGGTTTGGGTTTAGACCACCTCACAGGGCTCCTGAGCTGGAGGTGCTTTTGGGGCACTGCTGAACGTGTTTTTTTTTTTAACATATACAAATCAAAGTAATGATTATGTGCACATAAGACACAGAAGCAGAGGTGCATGCTACATAGAGCTTTCATGCAACATCTGAAGTTTAAAAAGATGAAAAATGTTAGATTTGCCATATAAAATTAGGGGGAAAAAATCACATTTTCATACAGAGCACAGTTCTATACATAAGATCACTGGAAAAACAGATCTGAAGCTCTTTTAGGATTTAATCACATTCTGGCTGAGATTAAACTTGAATCCATCCATTATTTAACCGCTTATTTCATAGTTGCAGGGAGCTGGTGCCTGTCTCCTTCAGTCACTGTAAGGGGGAGTGGGGGGGGGGGCACTGTGGCCAGGTCACAAGTCCCTCACAGAGACACAGAAACAAAACAAGCACTTACACTCACCTCAGGAATTACTTATTCACCTAAAATGCGTGTTTTTAGTTTGTGGGAAGAAACCGGAGAAACCCACACMTGCATGAGGAGAACATGACTTCATTAATGCTCCACAAAAGGAACGGGTGCAAATTCTTAGAGGAGCACATTAACTAAGGGTGCACCGACTGCATTTTTTTAACAGATCACCAATCTTTAAAAAGTCTGACCTGCTGATTCCGATTTTTTTTTAATAACTGACACTGTCGGGTGTTATAAGGTCACAATACACCTTCAGTGTTTCAATTATTTTACTGAAAAACATTGAACAATACCCCTGAAACAATATGTTTTAACTGAACATCAGGTAGAGCTCACAGCAGAGCAAAAGGGGACAGTGGCTGATTTTCAGACCTTTGAGGAGGTAGATGAGAAGCTGATCTTATCTAAGTATCGACCGATCTCCCAAAATGAAGGAAATCGGTGCAGATGAATTGATCAGATCATTTATTGGCGCACCCCTAATCCATCTTGTAGAAAGGCTCCAATGAAGAGTGGAAGCTGACTAGTTCAGTACCTCCCCTGTAGGTGTGAGGTTCAGGCAGAGTTAAATACTTTTACTTATTTAGTGAACATTTATAATAAAATCAAAGGTTTCTACACAGTTTTAACAAGTTTGGAAAATTACAGAATTTGGTTTTAAGATGATCCAGATCTGGATGTGTTACGAAAAGGGAAAACAGAGTAAACTGATTACTTTGCATTTTCTATTAAATAAAATCCTAAAGTTCTGTAGGTTGTTCAAAGTATTTTTCATCTTCAGTATCAAATGTGGGAGTAGTGCTTCAGCTTTTACCAGTACGACTGCCAACTTCTGAAAACTAACAAAAGGATTGAGATCTTTTTGTTGTTGTGAAATACCTTTAACGCACAAAATAAAAGTACCACTGAACAAACAGAAATTTATAGTTAATGTATATACATATTGACATAAAAATGACTCAGATATTTGCTGAAATTTCTGTGACTCTTGGAAAGTATGCAGTTTTAAAATACAAAATACTGTACAGCGTTTTGTACAGCCAAGCTAGGAGTCTTTGCATAATTTAGCCACAAGATGGCAGTGTTGTTGAGTTCATTCTTCAAATCTATTGACAAACTTCAGCTGTAMGCTTGGTAATAATAAATATAGCTTGTCATTAAATATATAAACCAGTGTTTAAACGTCAGGTGTGATCACATAAGACATGCCTAAATAGAGTTTGAAATCTAACAGGTGTCTGACATTTAAGACCACGCCAATATAAATGCATATTCTTAAAAAGAAAAGACCAAGAGATCCAGCTGCTCCCTTAATGGTTTTCTTGTTCRAWATAAGGGCCGAAGTGTGACCTCACTTTCAGTTTGAATGCGAGTCGCCCCAGGACACATTTTTGGACAGGCCCAGACAAAAGAGCAGGAGCTCTGTTGCAATGGTACACCTAAACCCATGATTCTGCTTTTAATGCACAGCTATAAATATTCCACTCGCTAAAACCTGTCCTGTTGTAGGCCCAGCCAGCAGCCAGGGTATGCAGTCCAGGATGGGCCCTTTACTATTAATACGGATGACGAAGGCTGTTTTGTCCCCCACAGAGTGATCCCGTGTTAAACACCACATTTGTCTCCTGTAAGCAGCTTCATTCAGACCGCTTCAGAGCTCAACGTGTTTCCTTAGCCATGAATTAATAATAGGTTGGCTTCCTACAATATTAATTGTGACAAACTAAGTACAGATTGCCAGGACTGTAAAAACCATCTTTAGGCGGTTTTGTGGTTTTGGGGTGGGAGGTGTGTATGTGTGTTTGGGGAGGGGGGTCTTATCTGTAAACCCTAAATGGATTCTGCAGTCTACACTAATCTGGTGTTGTAACTGTACACAAACCTTCATGTCATGCTGCTTCATGTTCTCGTTTTTTTTTCTTGTGTTKTTCACTCTCAGAAATGAAAAATGAAAAGACAACACGACGGCTAGTTCTTCATGTGTAAGATTGATGATGAGGAGGGGGTATTCTTGTGTTGCTCTCTGAGGCTCATCTATTGTAGATAATCTGAGAGGCTGAGGTGGGGCCCCTGAATACCAACTACCCCAGCGCATGTGTGTGTTAGCGCGTGTGTGTGTTTGCACATGTGTGCGTGCTTTTGTCTTGCTTGTAAAGGCTTGCATTCTGTCAGGAGCGTTYGCAGGGGTCGAACACCACCAATACCCAAAACGATCGACCTGCCCCGTCAGGTGAATCGAGATGAAGCGCAGCGCCTGGACCGCGAGGAACGGTGAAGGAATGAGAAAGAAGGAGGACAAAGTGAGTGGGGGGGGAATAAAACGGATGAGTGCAGCGATACGAGGAGCTGCCCGGGCCCTGACAGATCCACACAGCAGATGGATGACTSTTATCTGGGAGATCACAGAGAGCACGCTCACGCCTGGGCCCTGTAACAGAGAGCCATGATCACACCAGACAGATGAATAGGCCTACCCACACACCCACCACAACACCTCCACCACCCCCCAGCAATCACTGCTCACACACACACACATTTGTATTTTTATCCTTATTAGGACCGTGTATTGACTTCCATTCATTTCCAATCATTTTGGCAGCCTAACCCTGACCCCTTACTCTAAATTTCACTCACAGTACATATAAGCAAACCCCCCAACCCAAAAATGGAGTTCCATCATTTTAGGACCAGTCTTTGGTCCTCATAAGGACTACTGGTCTTGACAAAATGGTAGCAAATACAAGTACACACACATAAACATTTATATTTTTAGCCTTATTAAAACCGTGTATTGACTTCCATTCATTAGCAGTCATTTCTGTAGCCTTGCCTTGACCCTTACCCTAACATCTAAGCCCCCATCAATTCACATCTTTGTCCTAAATTTAACCCCTAACCCACTAATGACCTTTCACCATATTAGGACCATTATTTGGTCCCCATAGGACTACTGGTCCTGACAACTGTGTATATCAGAAACGCTGCTAAAAAGGTAACAAATACAAGTACACACGCATTGGTCAGTGGCGGATCTAGCATTTTTCTGAGTAAGGGGCTATCAAGGGGCCACAATAACTATGAAGGGGCCAAGTATTTGTTTAACATCCTTGCACACAAATCCCTAGTTTTGGTATATACATTTAACCAGTCACACATTTAAACACCTGTAATTTTAAAATAAAAGCTTGCGCAGTGAATACTTTTTACCATTTTACTTGCATTTTTACTACGTAAAATATTCTCAAACACACAGCATATGATAAAATCTAGCCATTGTCTGTCAGTTGAAAGACTTTTTCTGCAGAATAGAGAATAAAAATTCTATAAGTTTGATTCATGCTGGACTTTCTTACTGGACTCATTAGCGCCACTAGTGTCTGAACAAGGAACTGCACCCACAATCGTTTCTCTTGAGCAAAGGACAGATGAGTGACAGGACAGGGGCACGTCAGGGGGCCAATCAGATTTCAGCTGGGGCCAATGCCCCTGTGACCCCACCCCCTAGAACCGCCCCTGGCATTGGTATTTCTAGCTTCATTTGGACCATGTGTTGACCTCCAGTCATTTCTGAAGACATTACCCAGAGTCGGACCCTTAACTTAACCCCCAACTCAAAAATGGAGTTCCACCATATTAGGACCAGTCTTTAGTCCCCATAAGAACTAGTGGTCATGACAAGGCAGGTGTGAATACCAGAAATGGTCCTAAAAAGGTAACAAATACACACACACACACACACACACACACACACACACAC